TATGACCTGTACGGTACTTTCTTAAGCGAAAGAAAAATATTTTGCGACAGAAATCTGTAGAGATAATGTGTTTTATTGTTTAAAGTACTTAATCCCATAGTTAAAATCTTAAGGTTCCCCAGATGACCAAACCAAAATAATACCAACATTGTTTGGAATGTTTATACAGTGGTCCCTCGGTTAACGAACTCTTCGATTAACGAATTAGCTCTCATAAGGATTTTCAGTTCGATTAACGAACAAAACTTCAATTAACAAAATCCTTACGACAAACACGTTTTGTTGTGAGCATCAGCTGATCAGCTAGTTCGCCAATACAGTAATCGGTTCTATGTTTACATTCGTTTCCAGAGGAGTAAATATTTTGCACTTTCTATATTAAAATTATTAGTCATTTTAAATTTTTTTAACATTAATAATATATGCAGTACAGGGAACTAGTTTTTTGTGCACCCACAGCCGCTTGACTCACCCGCCAAAGCGTCAGTTTAACTTTGTTTACAGTGGAGGAAACATCGTGTTTGTTGGTCTCTTGAATACAGAGTATTTTTATGTTTTTACATTAAAATTATTGGTCATTCTGAAATTTGGTTAACATATTGATAATACATAGCGCAGTGCAGTGTTGATTTAAATAATATAATCTTTAATTACAGCTAGTGAACTTAAAATTTTATTGGTGAAATTACTGCAGGAAGCATGGGACCAACATTCTACATACACACCTCAAAGTAAGTGTACTGTACTGCATTTTGTTTATACTTTGTATGTACTTTTCTGTGAGCTGGAACCAATTACTCAATATCCCATTGAATTAATAGATTCGGTAAAAGAACTTTTCAGTTAACAAACGACTCTGTGGAACGAATTGTGTTCGTTAACCGAAGGACCACTGTACTATGAAATTTGTAGTATGGGCAGCTAATATCCATTGAGTTAGTTATGTGCTTAGTAATATTTATATATTCAATATAGCATTATTATGTTGCACAGTAAAGCACAATTAATTATCTTATAATATTTATTTACAGAGCCGATCAGCCGAGAAGGTTGGACAACTACTTCCAGGGTTCATCAAGGCAGAGGAAATAAATTTACCAAAAGTAGATGTCTTTATGATTGCAGAGTATTATCAAGAACTCGGCCATCCAGCTATGAAGCACGTTAATTTACATCTGTCATCTGATCATCTCAAGCCCATTCCCTGGCCATGGTCATCCCTAGTCTTTCCACAACATTAAATATAGACATCGGTGACGAAAACTTACATTTCCCAAACGTGAAATAGGGAACAGTGATGAAAACTTCCCTGTTTGAGTTATCGGTCTTTTGCATCATTTGGCACCCATCAAGTAAATACACACGGTGATATTTGAGCAGTAATTTATTTTAACCTAAAAATAAGGTATGCCTGTGTATATTAACAAGTCCTGTATCTCTGCTGGAAACAACACATACACCACAGCTGGCTGCCTCCAGGCTCCCGCTCAAAGGCTCGAGCCAACCTGTGACGTCTCAACCAATCACATAGCTTTTCAGAGTCACATGACTTTTTAGGAACTTTAACCCTTATTTTTTACACTTTTTGTACCAATTTATTTAAAAATATCATTACTGTACCATAGTGAATATAAGTATTTTCTTTACCCATTGACCTGCCATTTTATGAAAAAATTCCGACCGACAACTCATCCATTGTCTAAACTGCAGATTCCAAAACTTAAAATCCAAAAATCGCTGGATGACTTAAATGGTATAATTTTACCGATTCTAGTAAATGTCGCCTCTTTTAAAATACTTACTATAATGATAAGAAAATCGATCAAGTTAGGATAGTAGCCAGGTTTTGGTTAGGTTAGCACCAGAAATGAAGGTCAGATTCGTTCGAATCACAATAAGAACCAAAGGAAAAATGCATTTTTTATGGAAAAGTTTAAACCTGACTACAGTACTATCATAAATTGATCTGAAAATCGTTGGAAAATAATAAATGAAATGGAACAACTCCTTCTGGTGTTCTCAGACATTACTAAAATATGAGTTTCAGTGCAGCAACTGATCATACTCTTATGTCCATCAAACACTTTAAATTATGGCAGTGGATATTTTGCCATGACCGGCTATGTTCCTACTAATGCTATTTTACCGTGAGTGTGCTCTGATTGGCTAATCGTCCATTATTGGTGAACAAAGCAAGAACTACACTTGACCGACTCTGGCGGCATTTGGCATTTACTTAGCTGTGAGTTGATCATTGTGTAGCAATAAACATACTTAACTAGAAGGAGTTGTTCGATTTTGTTAATTTTTTCCACAGATATTATTATATGAGACAACATTTACTGTAACCTAATAGAACCTCACCTAACCAACCAATGAAACCTACCTAACCTTAACTTCCTAGCCAGGGGGGCAGACCCCCTCCCCCTTGTCATATTAAACAGAAAGTACTTAGCCAATCAGGAAATATTTTTACTTGTTACCACTACACCTTCTCGGGAATTTTATAGTTGAAATCAGTATTTTAACAATTCTAAAACAATTTTCCTCAATGGCATATCTGGCGCTAATTACGTTTAAGCGAGATATTTAATATTTTATTATGTATGTTCATTAGGGTGGACCATGTCTATAGGGTGAAAATTCAAAGTTACAGAAATCATACTCCACATGGCTGCCCTCATTCCATTAGACACAAGGAACATAGATGCCAAATTTGGACTTCCTAGAAAAAGATCCAACGCAGTGGAGTATGGATCCCACTTTCAAGACCATGAAGCTTTGAGTAGTGAATGACACTGCAGAAAGGGGCATTGCCCTAATTCAAGCCTACAACCAGTCCCTCCCAAAAGATGAAGAACAAAAGCAGTACTTGCTACGCTTTGTCTATGAACATCGTAAAACATGTCCTGAGCCTACAAAAAGAGCTTTGATGAAGTGATTAATTATTGTGTTCAGTTCTGATTTTACACACATTACATAATTTTGTTTTCTATAATATTACTGAAGCATTCAGTTATAATGTTTCCAGTTGTGGATTATAAGTAATACACCATTTGTCTTGTTTTATTACTATTCATTTCGGAAAATATTAGAAACTAGAATTTCAGTGCGCTACACTCCCTTCTTCCTAACTCCTGCAGAGGGCTCTTTATTCTCTAACTTGAAGTGGTTAGGTTGTACCGCAAAGCATATTTGCACGGTGGTACAGTCTAACTTTCTACCAAAAAAGCGATGGATGGACACACAGAATCTAGCTTTTTATATATCGATAGATGGCGCAGATTCTACTAAATAAATAAGTGACCTAAAAATAATAATTGGGCCAATATTTTACTTGTGTAATCAGTTCTTCACATGGAGCAATGTAATTTGATTTTGTTTTTTGTTTGAAACAATATTATGAATTCTGTGATGAATTTTTCCATTCTGGATTAAATGGTTTACATAATTTAGCTTGCTTTCTTACTGTTCTCTCTGGATAACACAGAAAAGGGTGCAGATACAATAAAAATACAAAATTTAAGCGACCCCTAAATATTGTTTGCTCAAGCCAAAATTTTACACGTTGAAGCAGTTACCCACATGGAACAAGGGCTGCAGTGTGGAGAAATATATTTCTAAGGTTCAAATTTTTTGGACCACCCTAATGTTCATACCTGGCGGTACACACCCAGAACATCGAACGACTGTGGACCTCCCCATTTAGGTTGTTAGGTTAGGGTTTTGTTTTTCCGATGGTTTTCAATGTGTTTTGAACACTTTTTACTTTGATTTTTAAAGAAAATATCTAGATTCCGAGATGGGACGGGGGGCCTTATCTCAGAAACTATTGATTTGCGCCAGAAATGAAGGTCAAATTCGTTCATAACACAACAGAAAAACACAGTTTCAACTTCGATTTCATATACAGGTAACAAGTTAAATTTTACCGCCAATTAGAGAGCACTCATGGTAAAATGGCATTAGTAGGAACCGAGCCGGTCATGGAACAGGTAAAGGTGTAGAAGAGGGTGACCACCATAAGGAATTGCCCGATTTGGTTGAATTTTTTTTCTACACACTAATATCATTATGCATGTACGAAACACAAAACTTTTAACGACAATGCATAGAACCTGACCTAACATACCCATTGGTTGGGTATGTTAGGTCAGGTTTTATTAGGTTCTATGCATTATTTTGAATTAATTTTTTATATAATGCTTATAACATATTAAATACAGAAACGGAAACGACAATGCATAGAACCTAACAATCTTTTTATTTACTCTATCCCGCTTCACAATTCTCCTCCCGGCGCCATTTTTTTTTACCTCGCTGAATTCCTTTTCAAGAGACGTTTCCTGAATGATGGTGAACGCTTCCACGTATCCCTCCTCACCAATGCTGATGTATATCAACCTCAATATTAAGGTAAGTTGTTTAACAAATAAATTAACACGATAATGCATAGAACCTAATAGAGCCTGACCTAACAAACCCATAGGTTAGCTATGTTAGGTCAGGTTCCATTAGGTTCTATGCATTGTCGTTTCCATTTTTGTGTTTAATATCATATTAGTGTGTAGAAAAATTTTCAACCAATTCAGATAATTCCTTGTGGTGGTCACCCTCTTCTAAACCTTGCCCCCATGTAAGGAAGTTAGGTTAGGTTCAGTACATTGTCGTTTCCATTTTCGTGTATCATGCAAGTAACATAGGAAAGTTAAAGTATTTTCTACTGTTAAGCGTCTCCTCCACTATTACCGAATAAAATTCCATGGTAAACAACTTCAGAATGTTAAACAAAATAAATAAGTCATAAAAATAAACAAAACCTTGATATTTGCACCGTGATGGCAGCAAGGACTCCTACACACAACTCTCTCTATCACTCTCATATATATGCATGGAGAAGGAAGTGGCACATATAACACACTGAACACCATGTACAACAACATATAACTACAGGAAGTAAGAAATGTGTAAGTAAAAAAAGCCGGTAGTGGAGACATTACCTCCACGTGATCTTTGGTGATGTACTAACTTAGCGCAACACCCACAGTTATTTCTGGTCAGTTAATTGTTATATGAACACAACGCACCAATCAGAAGGTAAAAAGGTTTACAATGACATGTTAAATACCCACGTGTAGTTCACTCCAAGAGCTACGTGTGTGTTGTTGTGGTTATTTTAAATGGCTCAGCAGCACGTGGCGGGAGATTTAAAACTTCAAAAAAGACGCGCGACTTGCGTGATGATATTTACAAAACATACACTCCCATCTACCTGTGCAAATACATATATTTTTAAAATTATATATAAATATATGAATATTTCATGTAGATCCACAATGAAAGCCTCTCTCTGTCCATGTAATCCAGTTGTCTCTGAAGATGTCTTGAATAAAGACGAAAGCTAAGGTGCTCCGTTGTTTCCCTTTTCCCGTGTAATTTTATCAAGAAATATATATATATATATATATATATATATATATATATATATATATATATATATATATATATATATATATATATATATATATATATATATTCAAAGGAGGCCACCAGACTGGTGCCTGCACTTCGGCACCTCAGCTACCCTGAGTGATTGGAGCGCCTGAACTTGCCTAGCTTATACTACAGACGGGCAAGGGGGGACCTAGTTGAGGTGTATAAGCATCTCAAGTGGCACTACTCAGTTGAGTGTCCTTACTTGGAGCTGGCAGACACTCGCCCCACAAGGGGTCACAGCTCAAGATTGAAGAAGCCGCAAGTCCAGAAAACTGTGAGGGCAAACTGTGAGGTTGTAAACTCTTGGAACAATCTACCAGAGAGTGTTGTGACGGCACCGAGTGTGAGCTCTTTCAAGACAAGACTTGACCAACACTGGAGCGGGTTCAGGTACATTCAGGAGCCGGTGCATGCCCAGTACTTGCCAACAGTGCGTGACAGAGACGTGACCGATCGCCCGGGCGGCTAGCGAGCCGATCTTTTGGTGAAGAGGATAAAAGTAAAAATGAGGAACTCCAGAGACAACTATTTTGTGATTTAGAATATTATTGATATAGATATGTATTTTTGTAAGCCCCGAAGAGGAAAACATAAATATATTTTGTGGGTTTGAAATGGAATTCGCGCCGGAGCGAATGATCCCAGCCCGGGGTGGAGAGACACTTCGGTGTTGTTTACATAACAAAGACGCGTCGGGTGGGCCCAGTAACAGGTGTGTCCCACGTATTTCTTGCTCTGTTAGGGTAGGGTTGCCATATCTGAACATTCAAAAAAGAGGACGCTCCTTAAGACATCCACCCCCCCCCCCCGCCCGGCACACAGGCTAATATACAACATACATGGTATAGAAATCTTTAAAAAAATTACCTTTGCTTAAGGCTGAACATCTTCATTCCCTTAGCTGCAGTCTTCTCCCCCCACTGTGTGTGGTGTGCCCATGCATACTTTTCTGTAGATCGGATCTTTTTCAGTATTGGCTGATTGCTCTTTAGAAAGGTATAGAAGTCACTGCAAGGTGTTTCTCGGAAGTTGTACTTTACAGTCAGAATGCCTTTCATTGTTTAACAATCAATTTCTTCCTTTCCTTTGTCCATTGGCTTTGCAT